CCTTGGCTCGGACATCCTTTGTGAATGGCCCCTAAACGAGTTAAAGACAATACATTTGTGAAGATGTTTGTGATGTTACTCCGAGTGTGCATCCACACCGGGCAAGCTGAAAAATTAGCTTGGCCACGATGGGAATCGATCCCACCGTGCAGGCCAAGCTAACTTTTCAGCTTGCCCGGTGTGGATGCACACTCACAGTAACATCACAAACATCAAATTCACCTGAGTACATAACACCAACACACACAAAATAAACATTTATAAAGGTTTGGATAATGCAAATCATTAAAAATTTCCATAGTATGACCTGTTGCTATGGCTAGCTTGAACTTTTGCGCGCGGAGCAAAATTCTTCAAATCAAAGAGAGAAACTACAGTAGTCAGCATATAATGCGATGGGAATTTGAAATAAAACTATCTCAATGAATTCTATACGATTAACCAAATTTATATAAATCTCTCGAAAAGGAAAAGACATACAGAAAAAGTGTAAAACTGAAAACATTATAGTTTCTGTGCTACCAGATTAACTTAAATTTCATTGCCACACATATATCCTTTCAACACAGAATTAATAGAACGGACACGGACAGATTTAAGAAACTTCCCCTTTTTTTAACAAAGCACTAGTTGGTAAACAGTAGTCTAGATTGGTTAAAAGAACTCGTGTATGTAATATAATAATTATATACTCCGTAATATTTTGACATATAGGGTCGTAAACGGGTAAAAATGAGTGGAATTTGCCTAATTTTTACCGTGGGAAATGGGTTGGAATGATGGGACTCGTCATTTAGTTGAACTATAACTGATATAGTGATATCAGTACTCGATATAATAAGAATTATATATACGCGATACAGCATATATAGGCCACTCAATTTATACTATAAACTTTATATACTCAGTATGTGTGCTTTGATTTCATTAAAAACTGCAAGAAATGAATCATGTTGTTTATAAAGTTATTGTCAAGGGAGTGGTCATTATTTATGGCGGGGTGGCACCGAAGAGAAAAGGGTTGGATAAACAAAATTTTGAGTGAGTAAAAGGTTGAGTAAATGAAAAACAAAACAACTCAAAGGTTGGGAAATAAAAAAATATAAGTGTCTCCAAAGAAAGAACATGTGCAGACAACATGAAACTTTATTTTACACTGCAGAAAATTGCACAAGCAGTTATCAAGACCCCCACCTGAAAAAGATATCTCAAACGTGGCGGTGCAATTAAGACAATAGATAATGAGATGATAAACCATTAAACCTCATTAAGCTTCATTGTCTATTGTTTGAATTGCATTCGACGCGACCGAAATTCTTGGGCAGCCATTTAAAAAGGGCACTTACTCTTGAGCCTTAATTTTCTTTTTTTTTTTTGGGGGGGGGGTTAATGTTCGTTAACATTTTGCTGTATAACGGATACTTCATTACTTGTAGCTAATACAGTTAGACAAATTTCGGCATGAATTGGAACATTTTTATTCGTTGCATGACACTAAAGACTAAAATGTATTGTAAAGCAACATGACAGTTGTCAGTTATTTAGGAAGGCTTTCTTTTTCACTTTTTTTCATAGGTGGAAACTGATTTGTAACGTTTCTGAGAGGAATTCAGATTCAAATATATGAGCTAAATTGTTTAAAAACAGTTTTCAATTTCAATTCATGTGAAAAACGCACGACGTTCGAAGAGCAGTTCTGGTAAAAAAGGCAACCTGCTGCCCCACTATTTAGGCAACGGGGCAGCTGCCCCCGTGGCTCCGGCGCCCCTGCCGAAATTCGACGCATAAAACAGACCTCAGAGACCTGAAGATCTCATAGAACGACAATGTGATAACGATGGCCAGTAATACAATGAAATTAATAATATTTAAGAAAAGAAATGAATAATTAAAATCCCACGGGAAATTCAGACGTCATACACGGTCTGTTGATACAGTAACAGACTATTAAGATTTTTATATTTTATTTATTTTAGTATAATTAATATTTCGCTTCAATAGAGAACAATATTTCGACACTCTCACAATATTTCTACACAAAACTACTTAAAATTAAGCACAGACTAGCTATGTATGTATCTAAATATTTGGAAATTTTAAACTAGGATCAAAGTTATCGGTGAGTGAAAATCGAAAAATCGCGTCGCGTTGTCAAATCGCGTCCGGTGTGTCTGGACCTTAAAGGTATGCTCTTTCTCTACAATTATTTGAAGACCTTGAGTAGAGGTCCGACCAAGGATTCAACCCAGGTCTCACAGCTTGAAAGACAAGCGTGGTGAACACATGTGCTGGTTCAAAACTAATAAAAATACTACTACTACTAATAATAATAATAATAATAATAATAATAATAATAATCTGTTTGATAAACTGCTAGCTTTGCAGTATAAACTGAATTACACAGTATAATTATTTCATGGCTGTTGTATATATGGTATAAGTGCTTCATGTAAACAGCATTTGACTTGCATGTACTTGACAGTGTTTCAGCTGTTATTAATAAAGGATTTTTTAGTGAACATATTCTATGTTAGCAAGTATAGCATTCGTAAGATGGAGCTCCACATAGTTTTTTAAAGCAATGTTTCCTATATTTCTGAGTGGTTTTGGATAAAAAAACTAGAAAGGATCTTGAATAAACGAAATGGACTAGGTTTGTTTAGATATTGTTGAGTGCTTCATATTTGCAAATGGAAACTACTACAGTATATTGTGCAAACGCACTTGGCAGTAATGACAGGTAATGATATGCCACTCGTGTAATATTCGTCGATGTTTTAGCGTGATTTGTACCGTGATGGAAGTGATACCAAAAAAGCTTCAGTTCTCTATCCAGTGTAACTAAAAGCTCAGCTGGATTTTCCGAAATCTACAGTGGCTGCATGGCTAAGGTCCATGGCTCGTCCCCAGTCGCTTGCTGCTATCAAATAATTAATTAGCCTTAAGGCGTGCGTCTTTATCGGGCTTGCAGTGCACGCGCTGATCTAAATATTACTGATATTTAAATTTGATCTATATAGAAGAGCCCGCGGAGGAGGCAGGACAGTTAACATTCATTGTATAGATAACACTGCAGTTATGTAAAACTAGGCATCAAACAAAGTCATGACATTTCATATGAGATATAAACCATTACCACAGGTACTGACACAGCGAACCCGAGTATGACCTGTTATCAATATATAACCCCACACACATAATATCTATACAGTTATATCTTATTAAGAAAACCGACTTAATCATGAATTAATTACAAAATATTGACTCTTTGATCAAATAGAAGATGATATTAACGAAGTATTAAAGTCAATTTCAGCTGACTTTTCATCGTAAGATTCCGAAGTTCGTTCCGAACTTCGCAAATTCGTTGCCAAGTTCAAAAGTTCATAATGAAATTCACAAACAGGTTTGTAAACTGGGCATTTGATTGGCTGGTTTGATTTTAATAGCCAATCAGAGGCTGTGTTTACAAACCTGTTTGTGAATTTCATTATGAACTTTTGAACTTGGCAACGAATTTGCGAAGTTCGGAACGAAGTTCCAAATCTTACGATGAAAAGTCAGCTGAAATTGACTGTAAAGTGCCTATATCATAGTCAGGGAATTAGCCTATTTAGTTTAGATGATTTTAAGAACTTTTGCAATATATTTTATAATTCGAAATATCGAAGAAATTTCCAGAAACATCTAATTTATACTCGATTTTGTCAAGAAACTATAGTAAATCATACGTATTTTGTTTTGATGACATCCCGGTTTGACGTCATGCCGGCATTCTCGCCCCAGTACTTTTATGCTCACGGTCAAACGCTCAAAATATGCAAAATCGCCAACTTTGAGTCCCTGAAAGTCCATGAAGTCGAATTATAAAATATATTGCAAAAGTTCTTAAAATCATCTAAACTAAATAGGCTAATTCCCTGACTATGACATAGGCACTTTAAACAGTTCAGGATGAAAGAATTAATTAGAATAGCACAAAAATAGACCTGTGGCAACTCGTAGACCTATAGTCTGACATGCGTGTTTCTGTGTCACAAAACCAAATCACATGGTAGAATTCCCATGATATCCTCTACACAATATCGATAGATGTATTCTATGGTATGCATTAAATTGTATGATCATCAGTTGATGAAAGCATGTAAGAAAAAGTATTTAAAGCGATCGAAAGGACTGGAAGCATTCGCAGTTTTCGTGATATTTAATCAAGTGGCTACTCCTACCGAGCTCCATGCGGTCTCTCGTTTTCTGTTCATGACGGAGTCAAAATATTCCTTTCAGTTTTTATTTAACATAAATTTGCCGAAACGAACCAAACTTACACAATTCCTGTTCATGAAACACGACGTTTTCCAGTAACCTCGCGCAGAATCTGAAGATCCACTAGTCTCAAGACAACACTGAAAAATTTGGCAGGTATAAGTTATACCGTATATATATTTTACAATTTCATTTAATATTTATTTATCTTTATGTTGGTATTATGTACTCAGGTTAATATATGATGTTTGCGACGTTATTCTGAGTGTATATCCACCGTGGCCAGGCATATTTTTCAAGCTTGCCCGGTGTGGATATACACTCAGAATAACATCACAAACATAATTTATTTATCTATTTACGTGCTACAGTTTGAGAGTTGGGGTTTGTTATCGGGCGTTAATTTTGATACGAAACTTAGCATTTCGAGCCATACCAGTGAAGAAATCCATATTCAAACTAGAAATAGCTTTGTTTGTTAAACTTTATAGAGTACAAATTAATTCAACAAATATTCATCTAAACATGCAATTAAAAAGTGCTGTACTCAAACGGACAAGGCACAAACTGGACGTAAAGTCCATTGCATGGTGCCCCTCCTCTTCCTAACATAGACTTTTAATTAAAGTCACAGTATACTGTACAGGGTGTCCAAAACAGACCCCAAAACCACTGAAACAACGCACAGTTAGAATCTGAACGCCCCGAGTATCAATTAGCTGAACGGAAAGATGCGTAATCGTATTCATAATAGCTTATGAATCGAGCTAAGCGAGTACCTACATAACAATATCAATGCATAAAGTCCATTGCAAGTTTGTAACGAGTTGTTACTAGGGAATCAACGAAACTGACCAAATTTTTAATTTCACTGTCACACCCAGTATAATTTACGGTTTTGGTTACTACCAAGAGTCGAAAGGGAATTGTATATCTATCAGGCATAGGCTTTGCCTCAGAAGTAAATTTGTAACATTTATTGGAAGAAACCACTAGTAATATAACCTTGGGGTGATTTATTCAGTCTTCCCTCACAGTTTAAATAGATTTTGTTTAATACGACCATTGTTGTATATATGTATGTTGGTTAAGCTGGAATATGATTATATCACAACTGTATATATGTACAAAATACTGTTGATGTATATAAATACTTGATATTATTAATTTAACCTTCAAATTTTCTTTGAGTTTTGTCTTGAAATGTAATACACCCATCGAAAAAATAGGTACGGGCTGCGTACATGTGGGTTGCCTGCATTGTTTGCTAATCGCTATTGTCAATCCACACCGCGGGCAAGCTTGAAAAATATGCCTGGCCACGGTGGGAAGTAGCCACTTAATCAAGCTTGCCTGGTGTGGCACCTGAGTACATAACACCAACACAGAAAAAGATCGCTATTGTCAAATTCTGAATTTACTGAAAGAAAGTATTACGTAAATTGGACGCAGTTGAAATATTATACACACATTTAATCACATACAAAACATCAGATATGACAAAAATACGTAAACAACTGTTACGTGCATTCTTCAATACGCATAAACAGATCTAAGAAGTTACTAAGTATTTTAATGTGTCAAAAATAATTTGC